CAATGCTCACAATTCAACATTCAGACTCTGTGGGGAAACACAACTGAATCTACTGAGGAGTAGGCTCAATACTCCGCATATGCCTCTACTGAAGATATGACGAGGATACATTTCTGAAAGATGCCCCAAGGGTTATAACCTTGCAAAATGATCTCTGGGATATTTTATCCTGAACAAAAAAAGTTTGCCATGAAACGAACTCGAGATGGCTTACCCTAGAATCTGTAACAACTTTTGATAAACTTTGCAGATATGAAGAGGAACGATTCCTTCGTTTCCAATTTTTCCCCAGCCTGTGGGATCTTCGTAAGATATTCCTCAAAAGGAGCCCTACAATCTCTGTACTCTGGCGGTTTGATATGAACGACCTTGGCATTTTGAGCCTCACAGAAGTGCTCTGCATTAATTGCTCTCTGGTCAATAATGGCTTTCGCGCCCCTAGGGTGGTCTTCCCCAGACTTGCAATGACTTTGCCCCTAATTGGCAAGTTTATGGAGCAGTACCCTTGGCTGCGAGAGATTTATCAAATCTCGACCTGATTGGCCCGGATTAACTGACTTTTGGATGGCTGACTCCCATGATGTGATCACTTGATATAGCTTTGCCCCGGTTCACCGGAGTATTCAGGCATTCTGCATTTTATCCTGATCAAACTTTCTATTGTGGAAACTTTCCTGCTGTCAAGCGCTTACTCGCAAGTAAAACAAATTGTTCTGCATAAAAGATATATTAAATGCAATGCATATGACAGCTTTCAAAATCCAATTCTGTTCACTGGAAAAAAATTGTGACATAAAGTGTATGAATTACTTATTCAAAATATCAACATTAATACCAACGCGGTAAGAGGAATCCTTTTAGGAGTCAGTTTCGATGCGATCTTTACCGAAGTATGCTTTCGAAACAAACCTGCTTCAGTTAGGACTTTTTCAGGTTGTAACATGGTCAAGTTCACGGTTTGAAGTAAAGGATAAAGGCTCAAAGTCTATCCTAACCCACCCATTCTCCTTGATGTTCTTCGATCCTACATTCAGCTAACTCGACATGAGCGCTCACCTTTCAAAGGTTAAATGACAGGAGTGATGGTTCAGGAAACCACATGTTTTGTGGAGTGACAGTCAGTCGCCTTTCATCGTTGATGCCTGAAGTCACACGATTTCCTTTGTTCGAGGATTTTTCTTTCGTAATCCTTTTCGCTTTTCGTTTTTTCATTTTCCTCTAATTTTTGTCTGGACTAACTCTTTTGAGTTTCTTCGATTTTGAAGTCCAGCAGGGTGCCCTCATTTTTTCCTAAGTCGCTTATTTTCAAGGTTCAACTTAGCGGGCTTTTTTCTTATGATTTCTTTTTTTGTTTTTTCTCTTTTTTTTTAACCAATCGTGTGACACCAGCTTGCCTGAATTGTTTGAAAAGAAATTGTGACTTTTTCACTCCTAATCGGCCAGGTTTAACCACTGTGATTTTTTAGGTACGACCTATACAGGTGCGATTGATCCTCGAACGGGAACACTCCTGTTGTAATTTGAACGCTTGGTCAAATTAACTGACACCTACCCTGCCCCAGGTTAAGATTGAGGATTTTTTTTGTTTTCAGGAAGAAACTCCTACTACTAGGCTCAAAGGGGTTGACAAAGGATTATCTTCCTTATATCTCTGGTGTTTAGGAATTGAAACAATTCCTGTACATCATCAACAGGTTTTTATTCAAAAGCATGCAATCGGAAGCTTACGTGTCTTTCTATTTCGTCATCCTCCCCGGATTCCACTTAAACAAGCGTTTGAAATAAATGAAAGCAATAGAGTGAACACGAATGGATTAATTCAAAACATGCATATTTATTTCATTATCAATATCAATTGAAAAACAACAAGTTTTACAAACTAAATTTGCAATTAAACAGGAAAGGAATTACAAATGCAAAGAAATAACATGATAAAACGCAGATTGCCAGCTTCCGGGAACTAGGCTTTCACACTGATTTGTTGCTGAAGGAGATGCGCCCCTTGAAATCTTCAAACTTAAATAGATGAGTGATTGACGTGTATCACCAACCTTCCTTTCGAAAAGGAAATATGCCTCTTGTCCATCAACTGCTGCACTTTCGCTTGAAAGGCTTCGCACTCTTCAATTGAATGCCCCATGGATCTTCCGTGATATCCACACTGCGCACTGGGATTGTAACACCCTTCTAAACCCCACGGAAAATAAACATAATCAGAGTAAAATTAACATGCATTCACAAAAGGTGTCACACATATATTTCCAAATTACTTAAAAACCACCTGTCATGCTTAATAACACTGAAATAATTAATCATACTTTACAAAATTTCATTTGCATGTAAATGCGGATTCATTTACACCACATATTTTTCATAAAAGAAATATTTGCATTTATCACATAAATCAACATCACTTAGGCACTGAGGCCAACATCTCAAAATACATCTAAAACATAACCCAAACGATCCCAGTGTTACATGACCAGAGCACGACTCAACCCAATAACATAAAATCACTAAACAGCTACACCAATAGCGACCCCGCAACTACGAGCAGTACTACACCTTGATACCTGCACGATGTCATGAAGGACATAATTCCAGCAGAAGGGTGAGAAATATTATCATAATAACAATACATATAATTATATATATAAATGCACAAATACCGAATACATAAACTCCACATTCCCTCACCACAATACATTTACCTACTTAAACACATTCATCAATTCACATGCACACACACACACAACATGTTCATTCTACCAATTCACACCAACATCTATATTCATGTTTATTTCACCAATGCATCATATAAAGATGATAATGCAACTCATAGAGACCGACTCACGACTCTATGCAGATGCAAATGCGGTACCGACTCATTCAGCAGGTTCAATTGAAGAACCAAAAGGAACCATCGCTCGTTACCGAAGTAACTCCCCGCCGGGCCTACGATGTTCACCCATCGCTCACACCCCACATGGGCACACAATGTTTCAGGATTGCTCACACCCCACAAGGGCACACAATCATTCTGCAGATTCTCCACGAAATCAAGAATAAACCATCGCTCACACCCCACAAGGGCACACGATCATTTCTGCAGATCTTCCATGAGATCAAGAATAAACCATCGCTCACACCCCACAAGGGCACACGACCGTTTCTGCAGATCCTCCACGGGATCAAGAATAAACCATCGCTCACACCCCACAAGGGCACACGAGGTTTCTGCAGATCCTCCACGGGATCAAGAATAAACCACGGGATCAAGAATAAACCATCGCTCACACCCCACAAGGGCACACGAGGTTTCTGCAGATCCTCCATGGGATCAAGAATAAACCATTGCTCACACCCCACAAGGGCACACGAGGTTTCTGCAGATCCTCCACGGGATCAAGAATAAACCATCACTCACACCCCACAAGGACACACGAGGTTTCTGCAGATCCTCCACGGGATCAAGGCACAAGAATGCAATCATGATGCTACACACACACAATGACTCTACGCACTCTTGAAATGCACACATATACACAAAAATATTCAATTACGCATTACCCCACACAAGTACGCACAATTATACACATAATTGTCAAATGGCCACATCTCGTACTTTCATACAACAATCATATACACATACCATATGACTCATATAAACTCCTCAACTCTCGCAAATCCTCATTGGGATTATGGGTACAACACATATACCCCACCAGGAACAACATCACAGTTATTCTACCCCGGTGATTACTACACTAGGACGACACCTTGTCATTCTACCCCAGTGAGTAAGAATCTCGCACGCTCACATATTCACAACATCATCACACTCATCATGCATTCATGTTTAATTCAAACGATGCATATAATTTCCAAAAGGCCATACTCCACAATCTAGGATTCACGCTATAAGGATACCCATAACACGTCTCATCTTAACAGTACACAAACTATTCACAAATATATACAATTAACATCATTGAACCAAACAATTAACCATTGGATGGAACACACAAGAAAACAATATGCTGCTACGCTCGCTACCTTGCTCGCCTAGCGAGTACTCGCTTTCTGTTCGCCTAGCGAACAAGCTCGCGAAGGCAAACAGAAGCCTCTGACTTGATTCGCTACCCCACTCGCCACAGCGAATGCCCAGTGAATGCTCGCTACCCCCTTCGCTACCAGCGAAGAATACCCAAAACCATTCTGCCCAAGTCAGGGACCGTTCGCTACTGGCTCGCCACAACGAATGCCCAGCAAATTCTCGCGACTTGCTCGCCTAGCGAACATGCTAGCAAG